CCCTCTCATTCAAAGGGCAAAACAAAGCTCTCTGTTTGTTTTTGTGTGTGTGTGTGTGTGTGTGTGTGTGTGTGTGTGTGTGTGTGTCTGTCTGTCTGTCTGTCTGTCTGTCTGTCTGTACATGATGCACTCAGGTACCACCTAGAACACGGATGTCCAACCTTGGGAACTTTTAAGACTTGTGGACTTCAACTCCCAGAATTCCCTGTCACCTAGGGAATTCTGGGAGTTGAGGTCCCCAAGTCTTAAAGTGGGCATGGCTGGACACCCCTGCTCTGAAACCAGGGCTGCTTCGCTGCGTCTTCTGTTCGGACAGGGAAGCAGCCAGTTGCAGACCTTCCTTCGGGTTTGAGGCCCTGCCATTCCAGCAAATTCCGCAGCTCAGAAGCATGGAAGAATTGACTCTTTTAATCTGAGGGGCTTGCACCCCTGCGCTCTGCTTTGAAGAAGGCCAATGTGGGCTGCTCAGTTCTGGGCTGAATCTTCACCGTCCAGCTCCGGCTCCCTGGAGTCCCAAAAGTTAAGCTGAACTATGCCCCCATCACAGACACACAGACCTACAGAGAAAAAGGGAACGGCGGGGGGGGGGATTTGGCAAGCCCAGCTTCCTGTGCTTTGGGAAGGAGCAGGCTTGGTGGCTCTAGAAGCAGCACGCCAAACCCCCAGCCGGCCGGAAGTGACCCTCAGACCGGCTCTCCACTTGCAGAGGTTTTAAAAACAGAAACGTATGGAAGGCAGAAGGGAAAATCCGAACTGACAACCAGGCTTGGGTGTGTCCTGGCAGAGAAAGTGTTTAAAGTAAGTAAAACTCACTAGCACTGATGCTGTTGCCTAGTTGGGTAATGAAACGTCTGCGAGAAAACAACCAAGCTCAGAGAGTATTAAGGACCCCTCAAGTAAAATTCAGTTTGGACCAGTTTCTAAACCCCCAAAGCCCCTTCAAACTGGGCTTGCTTTTCTCCCCACTAATGCCACCCCCTCTTCCCTTACCAAACGCCCCAGGGCCGCCTCTCCTATTTCTGCCCTGCTAGAGAGGAAGGGGGGGGGAGGAAACAGGAAAGTGCTTTAAGTGGTTCAGGCTTCAGGTTAGAAACAGGGAGATGGTGGGTTCTAATCCCACCTTAGGCAGTACAGCCGGCTGGGTGATTTGGGGGCGATCACCAGGAGACAGTGAGTTCTAGTCTCACCTTAGCCATGAAAGCCGGCTAGGTGACTCTGGATTGATCACCTGGAGACTGTGAGTTCTAGTCCGGCCTGACGCAAGGCAGTGGCTGGTTGACTTTGGGCCAATCACTAGGAGATGGTGAGTTCTAGTCCCGCCTTAGGTTTGAAAGCTGGCTGGTTGACATTGGGCCAGCTACTCTCCTTCAGCCCAACCCACCTCACAGAGGAGGAAGGTGTGTGGAATAGGCTTACCACCTTGAGATTGATAAAAATAATACAGGCAAGTTACAAATAAATACAACAAAATAAAAAGCAAACTACCGCAGAGTCCTCCAGCGCAGACCAAGGCAGCTAGGAAAGCTGTTGAGAAAGGCACCCTGCAAGGGGGGGGGAGAGACAGGGACAACTGTCCTCCTTCCCCAGAAGTCTAACCAGCAGGGGCTGCTGCAAGACCCAAGGCCACTGGGGGGGGGGAACTGCTCACAGCCACAACTTCTGCTTCTGAAGCAGACCACAAACCCCCCTCCCGTGTTTTTTTTTACAGTCTGGAAAGAGACTTTGGCGATTCTCTTTGCTCTCTAGGACTTCTGGACAAGCCTCTGGTTCCTGGAGAGGGATGGGCAACTATGGTCTCTTTACAAACTGTGGAGTTCAACTCCCAGAATTCCCGAGCTAGCCAGCATAAAAGGGCCATAATTGCCCACCCATTCCAGGGTATGTTTGCTTGGGTCGCCAGCTGGGTTCAGGGGGGGGGGGCAGGCGAGAGGGGAGGGGGGAAGGGAAGTGGATTTGATAATGGTCAAGATTTTCTACTTTACTCTTTGCTAATTTTGAGTGAACTTTCTTTCCGGAAAGGCAGAAAGTCAGTGGAAACAAAGCGGGTGACCATAAGACTCTCCCTCCCTTCTACTTTCCAGCCTCCCTGCTGCCTGGGGAATTCTGGGACTTGAAGTCCACCCAGCCTCAAGTAGTTGTCAAGTTCAAAAAGCCTCATTCTAAAGGCTTGCAGCTTATTGCCTTTGCCTCAGGACCGCAGCTGTAGAAAAGAATAAAACTTTTCCTCTCTAATCTGGCTGCAAGGCAGGGGTAGCGTCTGTCATCATGCTGAGCCTGCAGGCCCTGCTTCAAAAACCTCTTTTGTGTTTCTAGAGGCCTCCGAGCTGGCCTGTACTCCTAACCTGACAGAAGTTTGCAGAAAAGTATTTTAATTATTTTATTTATACCCTGATCTGGCTGCTCCAACAAGGACTAAGTCTGGATGCCTTACATGCATCAGTGCTTTTCCTGAAACTCCAGCCCGGCCTTATTTCTAAGTTCCTGCATGTTGGCTCTTCCCAGTCCCCTCACTCCTTCCCTGGCCCTCTCTCCCACCTAACCCCCCTCCCCACAAGAATGAGGAAGGTGGGCCTATCCATAGTCAGGAATAACTTCGGAAACAAAGTTAGAGCAGGGATGTCCAACCTTGGCAACTTTAATACCTGTGGACTTCAACTCCCAGGATTCCCAGCCACCTTTGGCTGGGGGATTCTGGGAGTTGAAGTCCACAGGTCTTAAAATTGCCAAAGCTGGACATCCCTGGTTAAGAGAATGAACACAAAACGTGACACTGCACACCTTTCAATAAAAAAAAAACACTAATTTTTCATTGAAGAAGGAAACCCTGTATGCCTGTTTGGATGAAAGCATGATTAAAAATATAATTATTTAGCAGCCAGAAGAAAAAGTCGTAGCAAATTTGATTCCGCATGGCTCCTACCAAGGGAATCATTGGGACATAGAAGGAGAAATGATCCAGCTGGCTTCCTCCCAATCTCTGAACCAAGCTTACTAAACTATCTAGCAAACTTAACCATTGTGTACTAACTGCAAGGGCTACCAAGACTTGTATTTTTCTCTCTCACACAAACACACAAACAGAATGAAATCAAGATTTCCTTACAAGCTTCTGAGAAACAAATAAGAACTGGAGCAGGCAAATTCACAAAAGGTGACTGTCTAGTTCTAGCTATTGATGATAAGAGCCTCCATGTACAGGTATTGTATACCTTTCAAACTAACAGCATAAGTAGGAGCAAGGGCTCATTTATCTCTCAGGCCTGGCTTAGCCTTAGGCACTTCCTAAAAGCGTGTAGACCCAGGATGTTGGGCAGGTCAGCCATCCCAAACCTGGACTCTCCAAGTGACCCTTGAATTTCATAATTCCCTGGCTACAAGAATGTCTGTGGGCTTTCTTACTGGGGATAATGGGAACTGGAATCCAAAGCTGCTGGAGATCTATTTGATAGGATTGTGTGGTTCCATTCAACAGAAAAGATGCGTCTGGGACGCCCTGCAAAACAGGGAACAGCCAAGCCCCATTTTCTCCCTGCCCAAGACCCAAAGACCCTTCCCCTAATAAACAACTGCAGAGGCTCCTGGCCGCCCCGTCCCCCCGGGCTTCTGGTCGCGGCTCTTCCGGCCAGGTGAATCCCGGCGCGATGCCGCCTCCGAGGCCCACCTGGTCGGCCATCGAGACGGCGCTTCCTCGCCCGCGGCTCCTCCGACTGGACTTCCGACGGGTGCGACACCGATGCGCCTTCCAGAGACCCGCCCAGAGCCTCTCTTCCCGGGGGCTGCAGCTTCGGAGCGCCCCGCGGAAGGGCTGAGGTGGGGCGGGGGCGCTCCCGGGCTGCCCACGATGACTAAGGCGGCAGGCAGGAAGCAGCGCCCGAGGCGGAGGGGCGCCGGCCTGCCGCCTGGGTCTCCGCTTGCCAAGGGCTGGCAGGGCCTGCCCGGGCTGCGCTCGCCACAAGAGGCGCCCGGCCAAAGCACTCTGCACATGCTCAAGTCCCCGTAGGCTCACGCGCAGGTGAGGAAAGGGCCTCTCGGCCGATCCCGGAAACACAGGCAGCCAGGGCTCTCTGTTCGGTGCCTCCCCCATGGGCAGAGGAGCAGGTGGGGGCAAGTGGCACTCGCCCACCAAAAGCCCAGCACCAGGCAGCTTCGGGCGGGGGGCGGGGGGGGCGTATAGCCAGAGAGTCCGAGCTGGGCCCCCAACAGTGACGTGGATCGCCCCCCTAAGCCTGCCATCTCCCGCGCGGCTCCTTCGCAAGACCCCCCTCCGCTCCGGCCCAGCCCGCCCCACGCACCCCCTCACCCCCCCGCTGGGCACCCCTCTTCCTTCCGAAGTGCCCGACCAGGTCGCAGCGGGGGCGCTCCCAAAGCCCACCCAAGTCCCAGGTGTGCCCCCCCCACCAGGTCGGCGGGTGGGGGAGAAGCGACGGCAAGCGAGGCCAAAGGGCACGACTGCAAAGGCGCCCATCAGCTGGCGGGGGGGCTCCATTATGCCTGCCATGCGGGGCTTCCAGGTGCCTCTGGCGGGGGGAGGGGGCGGGATTGCATGAGGGCAGCCCTCGCTTCCCCTCGCCTCTGCGGGAAGGGGCTACCCAACTTCACGCTTCCGGAGGAAGGAGCGTGCAGAGCCCGCATTCCACTCCGGAAAGCGGGCAGGATCTAGTCCGGCGAAGCCCCTTCCCCACGCGGAGCAGTCGCCCCATTTCCGGGACGAGGAGAGACCCCCCCAGCAGCCCTTCGCCAACTTCAGCAGCCGCGGCCACGTCGGAGCTGCCCGCGAGGCGGGGGAGGCGACCCTTCCTCTGCCCCGCCGCCCCCCCCCCCACCCCGCCAGGCAGGGCCGGAGGGCCCGCCGCAGTCCGAAACTGGCTGCTTCTTCGGGGCGGGGACGAGCCGGGAGCGCCGCCGCCGCCGCCTCGTCCGCCCGCCCGCCCGCCGCGCAGAGCTGGTGGCGGGCCGGACCGGGCCCAGACAACAAAGGCGGCCGCCCGGCAGGTACTGACCTCATGTCTGCTGCTTTGTGCGCGGCGCCGCAGCCTCGGCAGCTGCTGAGCGGCTGCTGCTGCTGCTGCTGCTGCTGCCGCCGCTGCTCTCCCGCCGCCGCCGCTTCCGCTTCCCAGACCTGGCTGGGTGGGGACGTGGGTGGGGCCGGCCCGGGCTGCTCCCCCACCTCGGCCGGGCGGCCTCCGCGCTCCGTCGCCGCGGGCTGCGCTCAGGCGGCAGCTGCCCCCGCCGGGAAGCCCTCCGACCGCGCCCGCCGGCCGCTTCCTCCCGCCCCTGCGCCCGCGGCGGCTGCTGCTGCGGCGCTCCCGGCCCGGCGCCCCCGGGGGCTCATGGCCCCGATCCCGCGCCGCGCAGACCCAGGCCGGGACGGGACGGCAGCCGGGCAGCCAGGCNGCCCCCCTCCTGCCCGCGCCCGCTCGCATGCCAGCCCGCCGCTTTCCACAATGCGCCGCTGCGGCGCCGCTTAAAGGGGGCGAGGCCAGCGCGCTTAAAAGGGCACCGCGCGAGGCGCCGTGGAGGGCGGGGGTCTCCCGGCGGGGGCGTCAGCGCGGGCGCCGGCTCTGAGCGGCGGGGGTCGCCCGCCCGGTGCGCCGCTTCGCGCAGAGCCCGCTCTGAATCCGCAAAGCAACCTTGGGAGGCAGGATAGGCTCCTTCGGGGCGCGTGGTAGCCTGCCGTGGGCGGGCCCGACTGGAGCCGCCGTGCCCGGGAGCAACGCCGAGCCGCGCCAAAGGCAGCCCGGCCTCCCGCCCGAAACCGCGCCGACGACTTTCGTCCTCCCGCCCGCCCGCCCGCCTTTCCAGCCAGGCGAAGCTGAGCGGGCCGAGGCCGGGAGAAGCGTCCCACTTGCGGGATCCAAGAAGGCGCCGGGGCCCTCGAGGGGGCTGGCCTGTGGCCTGGAAGGCAGCTGCTGGGCGCCCTCTTGGAGCCCCTCCCCGCTTTGGGGGCTGGTCAGGCAGCAGCTGCTTGGTCCTGGGGGGGGAGGCTGGGGAGCCAGGTGGCCCCTCGTCCCCCCCTTCTGCTGGTGCCGCAGCTGGTTCCCCGTCCCCCCCTCGCAGGAATGGTGTCCGGGCAGTTGGGCCCCTGCCCTGCCGTCTCCACTCAGGCTTTCTGCCTGTGCAAGTGCAGCACATTTCCCGAGGGGGAGGCAGGGGAGCGCCCTCTTAAATGGGGGGGGGCTGAATTATTTTCATCTGTATGCTTAGAAGATCCTTTTCTCCTGCTTCCCCTCAGCTGCTGCCAGGCCCGAGAGGCCAGCCGTCCCATGCAGGCCTGGGGGAGGCCGGCTCTGTCCAAGGGCAGGGCTGGCACCTGCTTCCTCCGGTCCTCTGTTTGGATTGTGGGAGGGGAGCCAGGCCTGCCCAGGGCGTTGGCATCCCAGAGCAGTAAGTGCTCGGTGGCCTTTTTGTGCCAGACGAGACCCCCAGTCCTCGTGCACGGTTGATTCCCACGTACTTACAGAACACACATCTGTACTTACAGAACACACATCTGTACCCACGTTTGTGGTTTCAGAACAGACATCGTTGCAAATATGGGGGGCAGCGCATCCTCCCTGGAATCAACTCTGCAGATCCCTCAAAATCAATGAGGTCGAGCAACTTTACTAATTTGCAGAAGGCAAGTACAGCAGCCAGTCGGGCAGGAGCATCACATACATTGCCCCAAACCCCACAACCGGGTGCATTTGGGAGTCAGCAACAGTTCCTTTCTTCTTCTGTGAGCTGCCAGTTGGCTGCGTTCCGTGGCTGCCCGTCACGGCTGGTATCCTCGAGGCACCTGGAGCAGGAGGGCCTGCTGGGGCGCCAGGCTGACCACCTCCACGTTGGCGTCTTTCTGGGGTGTGGCATGGGTGCTGAGCACCACCTTGGCCCGCCCTGGGAAGCTGAGCTCCGTCAGGCGGAGTTGGGTGGGCTGCCCTCCCAGGTTGAGGATCACCAGGAGGCTGGAGCAGGCGCCCGGCCGGAGGAAAGCCACCAGGTCCTCGGCGTGGCTGGGCAGGGGCAGCAGGGTGAAGTTGGTGTCGTGTAAGGAGAAGGACTTTGCGTGCAATTCCAGGAGGGACTGGTACAGGACTGCCAGCGGGGCTCTGCGGGGCTCTCCTTCCTGACGGGGGGAGGGAGAGAGGGGGGGGGGAAAGAGAGAGAGAGAGAGACCACAGCAGCTGAAAGGGCTGTTCTCAGTCCCAGGAAGCACATGGGGAGTTCATCTGGAACTACAGCCTCCCTTTGGTGGCTATTCCATGGTAACAGTGGTTAGAATGCAGTATTGCAGGCTATCTCTGCCCATAGCCACAAGTTTGATCCTGACCAGCTCAAGGTTAACTCAGCTTTCCAGCTTCCGAGGTCAGTAAAATGAGGACCCAGATTGTTGGGGGCAACATGCTGGTCCTGTAAGCCCCTTAGACAGGGCTGCAAAGCAGCGGTCCACAACCATTCTGACACCAAGGACCGGTTTTCTGGAAGACAAGCTTTCCACACACCCAGTGGGGGTGGGGAGAAGGTGGGATGGTTCCACGTGCAACCTAGATCCCTGACACTCCAGATAAAGCTTTGCTTGCTCGCCTGCTGCCTGTGCGGCCTGGTTCCCAACAGCCCAGGGATCTGTGCCGGTCCGCAGCCCGGAGGTTGGGGAGCCCTGCTGGAAAGCGCCACGAAGCAGAATGCAAGTCTGTGCCGTTGCTCTTATTCAGAGGTCAGCTGGTTGCCCCGTCATACAAAACAAAGCTTGGCTCTCACAGATCCTGAAGTTCCCAGCCGGTGGCTCTCAGGCAGGGCCCCCCCTCCCTAGAAGTGGTTTACGCATTTGCGCTGAGAACGTCTCCAACGCCAGCCAGCCACGTGCCCTCCGATGGGAATAAAGCCCCATTCTCCTCCGGAGAGCCACTGAGTAGGCCTGTCCTTGGCCGCCAGCCTGGCCTGTGCCCACATGGGCTTCCCCGGGCGCATTGGCTGTGGGGTGATGGGGTGACGTCAGATGCCCAGTCATGTCATGATTTGCAAAATGCTACCCTGGCCTGTCTCGTCCATCTACGTGGGTGGCTCGTGTGTCCACTGCATGGCCCCGTATGAAGCTTCGAATTCCACTCTGGTTAATCAAAACTGTGAGCCAATTAGAAAAATATTTCTGACATAAAATAGTTCACATTCAAAAGAAACTTTTAAAACCAGTAATAAAGTGGCAAGTTCTCCTGAATAATGATAATAATATAATGACTCTTTCAGGGAAACAGTATCCCCATATACGGTTTGCCTAACCAGGGTTTAAAACATGGCTAGATTAATACGAAGGCAAATGACACAGTTTAGTAGTTTTCATCTTGTGTGAAGTGGGTTTTGGTCTACTTTTTACTGCTGAAGCTGCCCCTAATTCAAGATAATGTTGATAGTGATATAGTTTTCCCCCAGTGATTTTGGGCCTTTTTAGGAAATTGGACTAAGGTGGATTGGAACAGGGGTCTCCAACCTTGGCAACTTTACAACGTGTGAGCTTTAACTCCCAGAATTCCTCAGCCAGCATTGCCCAGGTTGGAGGCTCCTGGACTGGAAGACCTCCAAGGTCCCTTCCAACTCTGTTTTTGGAGGGGTAAAAGTGGACCTTCCCCTCCTCCCACCACGGAGAGATTCGTATCTGGCACAGTTGCAAAGGCTGAGGGTTGGCCAGGCCTTTGGGGGGTGGCTTTTCTCACCATCAGCTCGGACTCCAGCGGGAGGGGTGATCTTGGTCCCCCTTGCACCAGTGGCACTCCTGGGAGGGTGAAGAGCAGCACCCCAAGGATTTTCTCCCAGCCACCGACGGGCGAGAGTCCCCTGGGCACCTGGAAGAAAGCACGAAAGGAGCATCTCTGGGTCCTTCTGCTCTGGGCCCAGCTGCCTGGATGCCCTTCCCCTGCCTCTTCCCAGCGGCCCCGGGCCTGTCCCAAGCTCTTGCTGGCATAGCAGATCCTGCCTGGATCGTTGCCTTCCCATGTTGGTGACGAGAACTGGATTCCACCCGTGTTCCTATAAACAGCTTTGGCTTCCAGTGTTTTGGCGTGCCTGCAGCAGAACCAGCCAGACCCCCAAGGCGTGCCCAGAAACCCCTTCCTTACTGCCCAGCTGGGCCACGGTGTGCCCGGGAGCTGCAGGGATCCCTGTGCCAGTTGCAGCAGCGCCTGAGCCGAGAGATTTTTCTGGGTTCCCGGCAAGTGGCAGGTGAGGATGACCCTGCTGGGCATCCCGTGAGAAGTGCTGCAGGTCTCACTCCGGTCCCACACGATGAGGGCCCTGCAAGGGAAGAGCAAAATCCGGACTCTGTCCTGGCACCCCACGCCTGCACTCCCCACTGCTGCCACCAGGGGTGCCCGCCCTGCCGGAACGAAGGGGGGGGGTTGCAAAATAGGGGAAATGGCACCGGCTCACCCCTCCTCCCGTGGATCGCTCTGCCTCCCGTCATGAAGGGCGCCCCAGGCACTCAAGACCTGCAATCACAGTTCACAAACATCCATCACTCCCCAATCCTGGGCTGTTTAAGGTAGAATCACTAAGGTGTCCTGGGCTGGGGACTCTGGGCTTCCTCTCTCAGCAGGCCTCCTGCGCCTCAGCGGGGCTCTTGTCTGAAGGCCCATTGTCCTTGGGGCTGCAGTTCGAAGTCTTCCAGATTTTAATCGCAGCAGCAAAACATCAGACAGTGAAGTGGTCCCATTTCCACTCTTAACATATGCAGCAATTCACATTTTATAACTCCATTAAACAACAATACATCATTCCCCTTAAAGTGCGCTCTCAGCTAAGTATTAAAATATTTTTTAAAAAAATTGCTGACATGAAAGTACAGCAGAGTACTTTAATGATACAGTGCAGTAATTAAAAAATAAGGAAAGCTTCCGGGTTGCAATTTTAGCAGTGTGGTTCTTAAATCTTTCCGATCTGTAGTTCTGAGACAAAACTGAAGCACCCTTTCCTTTACATGTCCCGATTGGTGGTGGGTAAGAAAGCCTGGGGGAATAATGCACGTTCTGTATTCATTCAGTAGAGTTTTACAGGGAAGGTTTACCCCTTCTCTTCCAAGCCCCACACCAAAGAGGTCAGATCTAGAGGGATACCGTGGGTTTAGGTGGGTGTGTGTGTATGCCTGCCTGTCTGCTTTTTTGTGCACACATGCAGCAAGGAAAATGCAATTTCCCTGCAGCACAGAAAGCGAATAGCCTCACACCACCATGCCCGGAAATTGCCTCTTTCCCCTCCCAATCAATTGTTTCAGCAATAAAATGAAATGTAAATAGTTTAAAAACTAAAGTTTATGTTTTGTTTGCTGTCACTGCAAGAAGGGATACTTCTAGCCAGGAATTCCCATGAGATACCTGTGCAGCTATTTCCATGTTTTTCTCCTTTACTGATAAACTACAGACAGAAAAAACAGAAGTAGCATAAAAACAAGCAGGCTGATGTCTCTTGGATCCTATAAAATGTTACATCCTATAAAGGCGTGTTCAGAAGCACCCAAATACATCAGAGAGAAAAAAGGAGGCATAAAACAAAGTGATTCTGCCTGGGGTGTGCAGAAATTGGAATTGCTGGTTAGTTGTTGTATACTAGGAAAATTAGGCTTATGCATTGCAACAAGAACATACATATTCAATACAAATACAGACAAACACATACATAAACAATACAAATGCATATACAACAAGTATACACCGTGCTACACCTGTTTTTGTTTGGCCTTCATTGAATAAGCCACAGTAGGTAGGGATTACACATCATATTAACACTAAATCAAGGGTTACCAGCCACGGGGACTTCCTAGAGGATGTTATACCCAAGCAAAATGAGCCACACCATGGTTTAGGGTTGTTACTACAAGTAACCCACATTTCAGGTTGATTTCCAGTAGTGAAACTCACCGTGAGGAGGCGCCAGGCAGGGTCCTTGGCCACCAAAAAACCATGCACGCCTTTGGACTGCCAAAACTGTAGGGCCTCCTGCAGGATAAGGCCGAAAAGAGAAGGGAATGGAGGCAGAAGCCCAGGGTCCCTGGCTGGAAGTCCCTGAATAGAGTGAGACTGACGCGTTCCTCAGCAGAGAACAGAACCAGGGTGTGGAAAAGCACAACTTTACCCTTGGAAAAATGCAGAACTAAGCCAGCCAAAGTGATGGCTTTGCCCCCTCTGCAGCCAGGATGTTGTTCCCTTCAGTCCGATTCCAAGCCATGGAGGATGGAGGCCACCCCCACCCCTAGCCCACCTCTGAACCTGCGGGAGCATTCAAATGCCGGTGATACCTTGAAGAGCTGCGTTGTTTGATTGCTCTCAGCTGTTGGGTCCCCCTCTTCTTCCCAAGGTGGAAGTTCCAGCAGGATTCGGATTCCTGGGTGGTCAGGAAGGAAGAAATACGGGTGGCAAAAAAAAGCAGCCATTGACCCAAGGTTAATTTTTGGAAGCCATCACGGCTGAAAGGTGCGCTAATACGAGCCAGCAGTGTGCGGCAGCAGCCAAAAAAGCCAATGTAATCCTAGGTTGCAACAAAGAGGACTAGAGGACTGGGGGCTAAAACATAGGAAGAACAGAATTGGATAGGTCTAGTGAAAAGAAGGACTAGGAGTGACATGATAGCCGTCTTCCAGTATTTGAGGGACTGCCTCAAAGAAGAGGGGGGGCAACCTGAAGGCCGGACAAGAAGCAACCGATGGAAATTCATCAGGGAGAGAAGTAACCCAGAATTAAGGAAGAATTTCCTGACAGTGAGAACAATTAACCAGTGGAACAACCTGCCTCCAGAAGTTGTGAATGCTCCAAAACTGGAAGTTTTTAAGAAGAGACTGGACAGCCATTTGTTTGGAATGGTTTGGGTTTCCTGCTTAAGCAGGGGTTGGACTAGAAGACCTCCAAAGTCTCTTCCAACTCTGTTATTCTGTTAATAGTTGTATCACTGATTGTAAAATGGTATCAGACAAAATGAAGGACATGTTTATTCACAGCTTTTAGCCAAAAATTGGAATGACGTTCTTTTGTTTTTAACTGCTGTTCACTGCCCAAAGTCAGCATGTTGACCTGGCCAGCCATATAAATGGAAATACATGGATAAAGAAAACAACCAAATGGAGCCTCCAAGGTCAGAGGCAGTCTATCTCAAGAGATAAGAAGACAGGAGAGTGGAAAGGACCTTTTCTTGTCACTGCCTGGGGGTTTTCCAGAGGAACTTCGCCAGCCCTTTGGGGAAGCAGAACAATCACTGAATCAGTGTTTCAACCTGTGCAACTTCCTGTGGACTTGAACTCCCAGAATCTCCCAGTTCAATGGACTGACTTGATCCAGCTGTGGGGATCTCTTGAGAACCCCCCCCCATATTGAAAATAGCAGACAAGGAAGGGGGTTGCTTTGCCCCATCTCTTTTGTGAGCCTTCCTTATCCTGCCCATCAGCCCTTCCTTCACCCCCAGATATTATCCAGCATCTGGCCTGGATCTGATTTGTCCAGAGATGCTGTCTCTCCGGGACTGTCCATTTTTTTTACCACCCGAGCTGGCCAGGCCAGGCCCCAAACAGTCCCCTTCTGCTATTGCCCAGCCCAGCCCCTCTTTCGGGGCACCAGGCGCACCACAGCAATTGCCCAGCCCCCCCATAGTACCTTGGATCTGGGGCCACTGAAAGCAAAGCGGCAGGGGTCTCTGCCCCCACCCAGCAGTCCTGCCCAGTACCTCTCTTGCGCCCATCTCTCGCCAGAGCTTGCAGCTGTGCCAGCGATCCGTGGGCAGGAACGATCTGGCTCAGGTTGGCCCCTCTGCCTTCGAGGACGGGGCCCAGCACCAAGGCCTGGATGGGCAGGGCCACCAGCCGGTCCAGCTGCTGCCTGACGCCTGCATGGAGAGAAGGGGGCATTGAGGGGCACCAACTGCTTTGAACCAATTTGCCCAGCAGTCGCTTCTTCCTGTCCTTACCTGCCAGGTCTCCCCACCCATCGCCATCGGAGTCCGGGAAGGAGGAGGGGGGCAGGTGGTAGAAGGCGGCCTTTTGCCACCAGCCCAGGGGTGGGCTAGGCCGGGGCAGGGAGAGGAGCAGGGCCACGGCCAGGAGCAGCAGGCAGGCAAAGAGGCCGCCCAGCAGGCTGATCAAGGCTTTGCGGAGTCCGGGCCAGGGGGCGGCACTGCCCTGCTCGGCCACTTCCTGCTGGCTCAGGTGGGTGGCGCTGGGGGCCGCCTGGGCCAGCAAGGGCAGGCGCTCACTGGGCACGAGGGTGGCACGGTCTTCCACTTTTCCCATCCTCCTTCACTCCTTGGGGCACGAAGCTGTGGAGGAAGAAGCGGACGGAGGGTGAAGACAAATCACGCAGATGCCGAAATGCAGGACTCAATCCAGCGGGAAGTTCCACAGCTGCAGCCCCACTGAAATGGGGAGGTGGTGAGCCCACGCAAGCGAAAAATTGGTGGGCTTAGGCACCGTGTCTTCAGCAGGCTCGGATCCCCCCTCGGCTGCTAATCCAATGAAGGGGGCTACATTTTGGCTCACTGTAATGTGGGGGTTCCCCCCTCCTGCTGCCCCCCCCATGGAAGGCCTTGTTGCTTCAACAGCAATGAAGTTTGCTGTCTCCAAGTCCTTCTGGGTGGGAGAATGTGACCAGGTTGGCCCCGTTTCTTCAAAGGTCCCGGCCCCCCTCGCCCACTGGTCTCCCCTGCCCTTCAAACCATCAGCAGGAGGAGGGACCTGCTGGCCGTCCAGCCTTGGGGCTCCCAGGCCCTCCTGAAGCATCAGCAGACAAATAGGTCTCTCAATGAATCAATCAGAATAGAGCTGGAAGGGACCTTGGAGGTCTTCTAGTCCAACCCTCTGCTCTAGCAGGAAACCCTGTACCATTCCAGACAGGTGGCTGTCCAGTCTCTTCTTAAAAGCCTCCAGTGACGGAGCACCCACAACTTCTGGTGGCAAATTGTTCCACTGGTTAATTGTTCTCCCTGTTAGGAAGTTTCTCCTTAGTTCCAGGCTGCTTCCCTCCTTGATTGGTTTCCATCCATTGTTTCTTGTCCTGCCCTCTGGTGCTTTGGAAAATAAATTGATCCCCTCCTCTTTGTGGCAGCCCCTCAAATACTGGAATACTGCTATCATGTCCCCCCTAGTCCTCCTTTTCTCTAGACTAGCCATATCCAATTCCTGCAACCGTTTTTCTATGTTTTAGTCTCCAGGCTTTTACTCATCTTAGTTGTCTGTACTTTTTCCAAAGTCTCAACATCTTTTTTGTAATGTGGGGACCAAAACTGGATGTGGTATTCCAGATGTGGCCTTACTAAGGCTTTATGAAGTGGTACTAATACTTCACGTGATTTTGATTTTATGCCTCTGTTTATACAACCCAGGATTATATTAGTGTTTTTGGCTGCTGCCCCACACGGCTGGCTCACTGGTGTCTGTGTGGGGAGAGACTTTTTTCAGGCAGAGACCAGAGACAGCCTGGCTGTCAGAATGTGCTTCCCGATGCTGGCTCTGGACCCGTTTTCAGCTGGCAGCAATGCTTACGTGCTGCCTGCAAAATCCCCCCCTCCCCAATCATCAATGGCACTGTTTTGGGGATACCCCCCCCCTTCCTTCAGCTGCCAGGCCAAAGGGCTGCAGGAAAGGGACACATTCCTCAGGTATTTGTGAAGGCAGGAGAGCTGGGCAACCTTGGACAAAAGTCGCGGTTTGGAGATAAGGAGGTTTCAGAGTTCATCCCTGCGGGAAGCCCCACATTCTGGCAAGGACTTGTTTGTTTGCGACTGTGACTGCAGCCAGCATTTTGTGCTCGTGCCTGTGCTAAGGGCAGTTTGCAAAGGCTGTAGGGCGTCCCCTTCTATGACCAGCGAAGGCTTGGCCCCGGTCTCTGCTCAGTTCCCCATCTTCAAAGGAAATTCACACCCCAGCAGTGACAGATTGATATATAAATAAATGTATAAATGTGGCTGGGCAGCCTTGTGATTTTAAGACACACTTTTTAGAAAAAAAACCACCTTTCTTCTCTCTTCCTGCTGCTGAACCGGAGAAGGCTGAGTGTAAAACGCCTTCTGCCCCCCCCCCCCCCGTGTTGGGAGGTACCCTTCTCCCTCGTTTGAGCAAGGAAATCCTAAGCTATGTGGGCCAATGGATGAGTAAAAATACTGGTGGACTTGTGGACAACCACTGAGAAGCTGTTTCCCATATAAAGGAATAATTTAGAGAAGGTCTACAGATGACATGATAGCAGTCTTCCAATATCTGAGGGGCTGCCCCAAAGAAGAGGAGGGGGTCAACCTCTTCTCCAAAGCACCAGAAGGCAGGACAAGAAGCAACGGATGGAAACTCAACAAGGAGAGAAGCAACCTGGAACTAAGGAGGAACTTCCTGACAGTGAGGACAATTAACCGGTGGAACTTCTGGCCTCCAGAAGTTGTGGCTGCTCCATCACTGGAGGCTTTGAAGAAGAGACTGGACAGCCATTTGTCTGCAATATTATAAGGTTTCTTGCTTGAACAGGGGTTGGACTAGAAGACCTCCAAGGTCCCTTTCCAATTCTGTTATTCTGTTAATTAGTTCTAGAATATTGGAATGAATCCCAGTGCCCCCTCTAAGCAGCTCCTACGTCAGGAGAGTGGCAAAAGTCACCTGGAGCACCAGAAAAGGCAATTATCACCTCTCCGGGGAAGAACTGTTGTGCTATGACAATGCAGCCACAAGCAGCCAGATTGATTCTGGGAATGGCTAGGCCACGAATGGTCACTGAAAGATTTTCAAGATGTTTGCTCTCTCTCAGTCGCCCCCCCCAACACGTCTTCCTTCCCAGGGCAGAAATAACACGAAAGAAAATGGCCAGGACTTCTGCCTAAATTGCGCTCTCCCCCCCCCCCACAGCCCCTGCCCTTCCTTACCTCGCCTTCTGCCTGGATCCCCACCTGCACCGTCTGAAGGGGGCAGGAAGGGGGCCTGCCAGGCAGGGGCTGTATCTGGTGCCTCCGCCCCCCTGGCCTGATAGGAAGGTGCAGCTGAAGCCTCTTCCCACCCCGACCTCTTGCATTCCGGGACGGGGGTGTGTGTGGGGGGGGCAAGAGGGTCAGGCCTTGAGGAGCCATTAGAGCCTTTTGACAATATTTGGACAGCAAAGTGGCCTCCGATCTAGCAGCGGCTTCTCCTCGCTTTGTGCCATCCCGATCTCGGGACCGGACCCCAAGGGCAAACTAAGACCACCGAGCCCATCAGCCCAGGGGCGGCCTCTGAAAGCAGGCAGGCCACAGGCGCTCTTCGGCTTACGGCCATAACTGGGAGCAGAATTTGCTGTGCCCAGCGAGGCAGTTATTAAGCAAGCTGCGCCCAGGTACGTATCTATTAAGTTTATTTGGCCCTCCCATCTCACCACAGGCGAGTCTGGGTGGCTTGCAACATTAAAAACAGTAAAATGTGGGAAATAAATATTACTAATAGCAATAAAAACATAATTATAATTAAAGATGCAGAGGGAGGGGACAGGATGGGCAGGATGTCTGAAATTGGTGTAGTTTCCTGCCTGAGCAGGGGGTTGGACTAGAGGACCTCCAAGGTCCCTTCCCGCTCTATTCTGACTGAACTACCTCCAGTGTGATAATCCCCCGCTGGGTCCCCAAGCCAACTGACTGTTGCCCAAGGCCTGGAGGTGGGAGCATTATATGGTCTTTTTTGCTACAGTTGTTAAGTGAATCACTGGACTTAATGGAAATGACAGAATAATAGAGCTGGAGGTCATCTAGTCCAACCCCCTGCTCAGGCAGGAGACCCTAGACCCATTTCAGACAAGGGGCTGTCCAGTCTCTTCTTAAAAACCTCCAGTGTTGGAGCAGCCAAAACTCCTGGCCCGCGAGGAAAGGCAGGGGCGACCCCAAGTCCTTTCCCCTTTCTCCCGGCGGCGGGAAGAGCAGCTGCGAGACCCCCCCCCACACACACACTCCTTCCCGCCCCGCCGGCTTCCTCGGCCGGCCTCCCGCAGCCCGTCGAGAGCGCCGGGGACCCCCGGGCACGGCCGGGCGGGGCGCCTCCGGCTCCGCTGGCCCCGAGCAGGTGCAGGACGGGCGGCGGCGTCCGGGGCCCGCCGGGCGGGGGAGGCGAGGAGCGCGCGGAGGCGGGGGGGGGGNCGGACCCAGACGCTCCCCGCGTCCGCCTCTGCGCGCCATCCCCGCAGCCTCGCCCGCCTCCCCGCCGCGCCGCCTCGCCTTTGTTCCCGCCGCCGCCGCCGCCGCCTCGCCCGCCGTGCGGCCGGCCTCCCGGGACCCTCGCCGCCCGGCACGCGGGGCCTGTCCCGCTGGCTCCCCGGGCCGGATGGGGCTGCCGGGGAGATGAGCGGCGGGCGGCGGCGGCGGGCGGCGGCGCGGTCGGAGCTCACCGCCGCGGCGCTCCGCATGGCCCTCGGGGCGGCCGGCTGCCGGGGCGATGGGGCAGGTCCTGGGATTCGCCCACTGCAGTAGGTGTTGCCCGGGCCGGGTCCCCCTCCCCGCCCCCCCTCGCGGAAGCGCCCCCTCCCCTCCGGGCTGATACAACCCGAGGCCCCCCGGTAGGCCCGTCCGGCGCCCCCCGCCCAACGGCGCCTTCGCCCTCGGGCCCAGCGGCCGCGGGTTTCCCTTTGCAACCTGGCGCCCCGTGCACCGCCCTGCGCCACCACCCCCCGGCTGTGGATGCTGGGATGCCGTCCGGCGCAGCTGCCAGGCTCTGGGTGGGACCGGCGGTCGTTTTCCGCCTCGGCCGGAGCGCTGCGATCTGGGGGCTTTAAGGGGGCCTCCGTGACCTGTGTTTCGCGAGTGGCCTGATGGGGAAGGGAGCGGGCTGGACGGACTCATTGAGTGGCTGGGGGGAAAATGGCCGGATGGGCCGCTGGATGAGCAGCGCGGGCGAAGGGGAGGCAGGAAGGCTGGCGCCAGGGGGGGTTCTGCCCCGTCTGTCTGCAGGGAAGGGGGCGAGGTGCAGCTCTTTTAGGGGAGGCTGTAGTGGACTTGCACTCGGGGCAACCTTGCCTCTCTTGTGGCTGGGGGGGCTATTTGGTATGGATCCTCCGCCCCCACCTGCCTCTGTGCGGATCTCTCTTGCCATGTGGGCAGTGGGGGGGCCCTTGGAGCCGCCGGGCCCTGGATAGGTTGCCCCTCTTTTGGGCCGCCTCCCCCTTGGACACCGTAGGGACCCCAGAGGTCAGTCCCTGTTTTGCACACTGACAGCCCTTTTCACAAGGCGCAAAGCCAGGATGGAGTAGGTAACATCCACAAACAGCAGCACCCAAATATGCAGATGGCCTTGTCCAT